TGCGATATTTTATTTGTACGATTACTAATTAACCATTTAAGTCTTCACAGACTATCACAACAAAAGGGTACAGATTCACTGCTTTGAAAGAAACCTCAAGTAAAATATATATATATGAAAACATTAATAGAATATATACTGTTTTGTTGTTTGTTTAAACAGGCCACATGGGGAACTACAACAATTTACACCTCTATAATGACATATTCATCTAGACAGCTAAATAGAATAAAGCTGTACTCTTTAGATTCTCTCTAGATCCAACACACTGGTTCAGAATTCAAAAAAATTTATCAGCATGAATGAAAAGGATATACCTTGTTTAGCCTACTTACTGAAGGAAACCAGGCTTCTGAGATCACATTGTCTACCAAACATTCCTCAAATAGATCTGAAGCTTTCAATTTCAACCAAATTTGACAAATAAGAAAATTAACAAATTTCACTTTCTGCCAGCATCATGGAAACAGGTGGTTAAGGCTGTAAAGAAACATCCTGTTCAAGCTCTCACTGAATAAAAGGCTATTCAACTCGCTGAAGACCCAAATTTAATGATTTTTGTTCTTATATAACCCAACACCTCACTGATGGATCATATATAATGAACATATTATACAACAAAACAGCTGTAAGTTGTATGGTATACAATGCAGAAAAGGGACCCCCTACAATTTTCACAAAGGCCGATGTGTCATGAGTTTCAAGCAGGATTCATTGTATTGAATGTCTGCAGAACCATGCTTAAAACAGAATGAAAGGAACAAGACAAAATTGATCAGCAACATGATATTTCTCATCAAGTTTATCTCAAAGTGAACTGGGTAACTCCCACTTAGAGCCAACGTCTTATTGCTTGTAGACAAAGCAGCACTTTGGAAATTTCAATTAGACATTGAACCGGTGCCACAGCAAATGATGCTGAAGCCTATACAGTGATTGTCAGATGAATACACAAGAAAACCCTCCAAAACGCTGAAGTCCTTCACAAGAAATACTTCAGTTCCTCATCTTCGCACTCAACAAATATTCACTACAGTCAATCTGAATTACTCTTAAAAGTTTCAAGAGTGAAATAGGGGTTAATGAAGCCAAAAGAAACACATGAACAGAGATATTTGTGGAATAAATGAAAAATAAAGCAAGGAATATGCAAAAAGCTGATTTCACAGAACTAGTGGCAAATGGAGAAAAGCTTCTGTTTCATCTGAAGCTAAAATAGTGCTTCATGATCAGGTATGACTGGAGACATTCAAGGCACACTGTTTCCACGTGTATTATTGTAACATGACACACATCCTCTGCTCATCACTGTTAATTACAACGAAAGCCTCCTATAATTAACTGTAGAAGAATGTATCAATGAAACTTAGATAAACCAATCTTTCCCCACACACCTGTATATATATAGCAAAGATCTTTTACACTGACAGTTCTGTAAAATAATTTTTTGAGTACAGTAACTAAGATTATGCTGCTTCTGCTTCTTGTATTCTTGCAAAATCATTCAAATACAGATCCCCTGAGCTATTCCTCCAACTGCAATAAACAAGATGTGCTCTGAATTCAACCTTTTACGAAAACAAACCATCTTACTACAGTACTCAAATTATAAGTGAAATTCGTATGTTACATTACTAAAAATAATATTCCTTCGTTCCTCTATCATTCCCACTACCAGCAAAGAGCTAAGCACAGACATTTTTCAGCACTGCCCCATGTAGCCCTTTTCCAACTTCTCCAATTACGAGGCCCTAATCCTCTCTTTGTGGCATCAGTCACCCTCAGCAGGCTTGACGCACCAGCACAGAAGGCCACTCATGACAAATTTTGCATGTCCAATTTTGAATTCTAATCAACACTTTCAACAACAGTTGTTACACACCAATTTGAACTGAAAGCTTTTCCGTGTCAGTTTTGCCCACTCACAGCCAGATGTCACCAAGTTCCACTAACGTCCCAGATATGGCAATCAGACATCTCTGTGGGAACCAGTGGGCTGCTGTTAGTAAACACTTCTTTCAGCTATTAAAGTGGCAATCCGTGAGAACTTCGCCGAGAGAAAGCCAATGAGATTTCTATTTACCATGTTCTATTTACCAAGTTCTCCCTCCGTGGCATCCTGTCCAAGTCTGTCCTGAACTATGAACCCACACTCCTTCCCAAAACCCCCTTCTTTTGATCTCATAAAAGCAGGTGAGAGCAATTAATACATTTGTATAACGTTCATGTACCTGGGAGCAAAGCTAGACCTGCCTATCTGAAATAACTTTACAGACTCAAGAATTTTTTATTCAAAATAAAAACAACGGACATGAAGATCACTGCAAAATGGGCAGGACTTTGCAACACAACTTCTACTTTCTATTCATCATTACATTTTGCCAGGTTTTATTTTTCACTATTCCCCATCCCCTTGGGAAGAAAAAAAATATTCCAAGCCATCACCTCCTAATCTTCCAAGCTTTAAAGTCAAGCTCTAAAGGAATGATTACAACCATTATTTTCTTCAGCCATATGCCACTGCAACCCACATTCAAAGTTACACACCATGACAACATCAGGCCCTCATACTGCGCTTGTTGTCCTCTCCCTAAAATGCTGCAGGTTGCCTGCGTACCCTCCAAAATAAGGAGGATGAGGACTAGCTACGTACCATACACTGTTCATGCCATTCTGCATGCTCCCAAACGTGATTAGCACAGAAAATGCGAGAAGACCAGAAGGCATCTTTCCATATTTAGCCATGTATGTTTAATACCGAGTTAGATTTCACCTCAGTGCATTATTCCGTTAATCAAGGGTGGGTATAACCCTTGGAAGGAAGGTAGAGACTGACATCAGCTACTTTTAAGATTTCTCTTCCTCTTCCCCCCACCTCCAGCTTTTACGACACCATGCATTGTGCATTTTACGTGCATTCATGTGTGCAAACAGCAGAGACTTCTCTGTAAAGATCAGTTATATGGTAAAACCGCAAAAGGAAACTTTCATCCTTGTCCAGCTGGTTGAATAACTGCAGAGGCCAACAGCAGCAAGCCTCCAAATACATCCTCTTCTCCATCCACCCCCACATCTCTAATCACTTAGGCGGAAGATAGGAAGATTAGCAGACAGGAAAAAAAAATAACCAAAGCTGCAGATAACCCTTTACGACCACAACATCAGGTTATGAGACATGGAGCAAAAGGTTAACGAAGCTGCATTTTCAGGAATCTCAGACACAACTGTATTTAAAGGGGAGGGAGGGGTGCTGAGAAGGTGAGAGAGAGAAAAAAGGAAATGGTGACGAAGACAAAAATTAATGTCATCTACAGCTGGCTCTTTGATCACTTGGAGTATCCAGCAAAGGATTACCGGCAGAAATAGGGCAGTTTTATTACCAATACACTGCAATTTTTTGGTAGAGAATTTTCATTATCATCATAACAGATTTTAGTGAGAATACAGCTGTAGAAGTAAGGGCTTATTGAGCTATGCAAAGAATAAAGGTGGTAACCAAAACAGTGACAGAGAGCTACCTCTAACAGCTGATACATTGAAGACATCTGAAAAAAATTAAATATAAATAAAAGTCACTTTCTCTAGAAGACAATGTCATCTTCATCCACGTCTCTCAACGGTTGCTATGGGGTTGTGAAGAGGAGGGGAAGGATGGGGGGGGGGGGTATGATACATGACTGTGTCCCTAAGAAAATTGCGGACTGCAGAGCTGCTGCCACGCAGGGCAGTGAGGAAGCAGGCAGAGCAGAGGCAGCAGCTGGGGATGGAAACGCCTATTAAATCCTTTAGACAACAGATGGGCAAAGCCAGGCTGGGTTATAAAAAAAAAAAAAAATACACCACAATGCATCATGTTTTATTGTCCTACCATAATGAACAACACTTAACACCCACATGCCCAAAGCAGCCCCCCTATGGGTGATCTTCCCCCTTCCCTAAATTATGATTTCAAGTCTCAATCCACTTTTGGGGGCTCCCAACCCAATGAATTTGCCAGATGCCATTGCTTATTGCACCTGTTACCAAAAAAAAAAATTAAATAAGGAAGACATTTGGGCTTCTTTTAAAGGGTTTTTCTTCCAATTAATGCTCCCTTGCCCTTGAAGTGAATATGTTATCCAAGCAAGCAATAGTAAGTCCAGATCTTGAACGCATTTAGGGGATCTAATTATGTCATGTAGGGCAGAAGCACCTGCTCTCTGCTAATTCCCTCCACTCGGTTTCCTCTTTTTAATATTTCTTACCATTGTTCCATTCAGGAAAATCTGCTGGGGGTGAGTTTCATAAACAAGCTTTAAGAAAAATAATTAAATAACCTCCCCTCCCCCGTCAATCCCTCCTACAAAAACACAGCATAACCAGAATGAATTCTGCTACCGATCCTCTATTTTTCTTTTATTTCAGACCCTACCCACAAAAACCACCAGCCCATCCATCCATATTTGCTAAATACCCACAACAGTCAGTGCCACAGACATACTGTATATATTTCTACCCCCTCAACTGCACCTTAAGGACTACACCCTTTTCAATCATGATGTCATGAAATACTGCTGGTGACTCCCCCACTACCACCACCTCCTCAGTACTACAGGCTGTGAACCTTTCATTTCAATATAATTTGATTAAAAAGAAAATGCTCCTAAGTAGAGCAGTGAAGAAATTGATGTGAAAATTCACCACCAGCAGATCATCTATTTTTTCCTCTGCATGCACTCTGGCTGTCATCAGAACAACACCCGTTAGCAGGAGTAATGAACAGAAAGCATCCTGGGCATTTTTTTTTCCCTTTTTTCTTTTGAAAAAAAAGAAAAGAAAAAAAAAAAGGGAAGAAAATAATTAAAATGAAAACTAAATAAAGGCAAAAATCCACTACGAATATTATCTCAACTGACACAGCAAATGGGAAAACCTGAACCCTCAAATATCCCATCCCCAACACCTCACTGGCTGCTACAGCACCTTCCCCCTAGGGCCAGTGCTGCTGCAAAAGAACCAACCTGTCTGTCCTTTTCCTAGGGTTTTCTCCAAACGATAAGGTCCAACATATTGTGCATGTTGAGCTCCGCTGCCTTCTTTCCCTGTTGATGTCATTTCTACCTGGATCTGTAATTCTGCAATGTGTATGTGCTGATGAGCTGGAATTTCTCTCTGCAGTTCTTTAAATTCCCACTTTGCAGCTGTGCAAGCAAAGCACTCTTTTTCTTTGCTTTAGTCCACTTGGTTGCAGATTTTTCTCTTCCTCCTCTTTTTTTCCTCTCTCTCACGTGCGCGTTTTCTCGCTGGGTCTGCCTGGGACGCTGATGGACGAAGGAGTTATTTTAATGTTCAAAGAGGGGGATCTACGATCCAAGCCCAAGGAGCATGATGCTGGTGATCCGAGCTCCGCACGCCTTGTTCTCTCTAGGAGCTGTTCAAGGGAGAGCCACAGCTGGAGCAGCGGAAGAACTGGGGCCTGCAGCTGTGACTGACATCAAAAGCAGCCAATCGCCTCGTCTTCCACGTCCTTCTCCCCTCCTCCTTTCACTACCTTTTCCATCAGCAGCAGTTACTGCCTCTGCCTGCTACAGAGCATCATGATCAATGGCAACAGCAAAGACCTAAGTTTATCAGTTTATTGATAAGGCACAATTAAATATAGTTTAATTTGTATATTATTTTTAGACCCAAACATACCCTTCCCCCTCCCCCCCCCCCCGAATTATACTCCACTATGCAGCTGTACTTCCAAAGTATTAAAGGCAGGCTGAGACCGTGGCAGGAAATAGAAAAGGAAGAAAAAGCTACTTCTGAAAATGAGCTTGAGAAATCCATTAATTCTGTTTGATTCTGGAGGACCTACATCTTCTGTGAGTTTTACCCTTTAAAAAGAGCTGGGGGGGAGAGGGAAAGGAAAAAAGCAAGTCCAATCCTGTAACCACTGAAATCAGTGACAGATCTGCTTTTGAGTTTGATGGGAGCAAATAGACTTCAGGTCCTTAGACAAACAGATCAAAAATGGCATGTCCCCTATCTTAATTAGAAACACAGCAGAAAATCCAGGGATTATATGGTAACAGAAACTGATTCCCAGATCCTTGGGCCTTACAGTAGCCAGCATAATAAAATGTTCACTGTTTCATCCAAGTACTTATGCCTGTGTTTAACCTTCAGAGCTTAAGGAGTTGGATGAAATAAAAGATTCTGCAGATATGCTTCAAGTTAGGCACAAGTCTATGTACTTTCTGCATTCAGGACCATACAACAGTTTCAGCCAGACTCCAGGGCTATCAAGCTGAAACCATTACCACACGCAAGTTCCATTTTTACCTTCTTTTCTCCACTCCACTCTGGACAGAAACTGGTCAAGATATTCTCACCAAATTGCAGCTGAGACACAACACACAGCAAGGATTCTTCAGAAAGGGAAGCCTCGACAAGCCTGTAAAAGAAAGGGAGAGTAAAGACAGGGCAAAACTTGAACAAGCCTTATCATTATCTGTTACTCATTGAGAAAAAAGACTATTTCAGGTTGGTTTGTTTGTTTTAAAGAGGGAAATTTACCTTTTTTTAATACCTGTATCTACAGATAACAGCTGCTGATGTAAACTGGAATAAAATTAGAGATTGGCTCTTTACCTGTGTCACAGACAACACAACTCTACCCGGCAGATTGCAGAGGAGTAACCAGATGAGGAGGTGAGAGGAAACCAGCCCAGCAGACTCAAACCAGAAGGAAATTCGATGCCATTCAAAAAAAAACCCCCCCCGGAAACGAAACCTCAACCCCTCCTCTGACCTTCCCCTGCTTTGCTCTCTACGATTCATCTTCACTCACTTCCAGACTGTGCCGCTGCAGCAGCCTGCCAGCAAACTCTCCAACACTCCAACCGCCGCCATTCCTCTGCCTCCCCCTCCAGACGCCCACCCTGGGCCACCACCCGCTAAGACTCCTTCTCTGCTGACAGGACTGGGTCTGCGTTTGTCCAACAACCTCTGCTCCCTCCAGCCCCTACAGGTGTTTACTTTCCTCCCCTACTAAACTCAGCTCCAAATTGCCATTTCTCCAAGCTCCCTCCCCCAAATCTTTCATTAAGCATTGTTCTTCCCCCACCTTACCGCAAGCCCGACAGCCGCTACTCTTCCATCCTTGCTCCCCCTCACGCTCCCACCCCTCTCCTCTTAGAGCCCCAGTACGTCACCTCACGCACCTGAGCCCGCAGTCCCTCACCCAGGAGGGAGAAAAAGCAGTTGGGGAAAACGCGTCGGCACTTCCCCACGCCGTGCTCCCCTCCCCTCCGCCCCGCAGCCCCCGGCGCAGCCCCGGGACCGGAGGGGGCGCGGCTGACAGGCCTACGAGACCTGCCCCACGGCCGAGGGGTGAGGCACAGCCGGCCCATGGTAGACACTAAGGGGCAATAGCGAATTACGGAATGTGAGCGTAACTTTCAGAAAAATGGAAAAGACTGTTTATTTGCCTAAATGAGCAAATTATCCACACCACCATATTTACAGTGCAGGGGGTGAATCTCGGCATGGATCTTTACACTTACCATCTTCTTAAATTCCAAGATTGGTATTTTAAAGGGCATTTAATAGGAGATAATGATGTCTGTATGTAGGTAAACCATTTATGAGTCATGGTATTAACAGAAAGGTGAGCAATCAGAAATATTGTCCATCCAAGAGCCAGCTTGTGTATTTTACAGTTTGCTTCCATTGGGCATTGGAGAAAATGAGTTACAGAGCTATGGGTGTTACAAATCCCACCTTCCGCAACAAAATGTATGTCAATTTCACGGCTGGAATAAGATCAGAAAGCTTGGTAACGTTAGAATGATCCTGACTGGAGGATTGGTGAGTTTAAAAAAGGAAAACAAAATGAAGCCACAAAAACCACACATACATACATGCACCACCACCACCACTCCGATTTTTAGTCCCAGTTATTGGTTACTATGATTCCATAGGAATACTCTTCTGTATTTTGACCTTGAGTCCTAAACTATTTTTGGAAAGATGTTTGGACACTTCTTGATTTCTGAATAATCAAATGCTGTTTATTTTATTTGTTCATATAGAGCAAAATCCCATTTATCTGTACCCCTTTGATCTGAAACTCTCTCCTTTGAATCTAGGTTATGTCCCCCTGGTGTGAATTACTTATACAATAACTCCCTCAGTTATTTGAAGCCCTGTTTATCCAAATGTTTTGATGTTCCAAAAGTATTTTGAATAAACAGGGCTCTAGTGTCTTTGGATATATCAGATTTCTTTGGGGATGCATATAGGATGATTTCCCCTGACCTTATTCTGTACTATCTTGTGCTTAAATGAACAGGAATTGTAAACTTCAGTGTGTAGTTAGTGTATTGGCACCATCTTCAGTACTTCTTTCCCCATTAATTATTTTTCCTTCATTGTTCTCATTAAAGGACTAAATCCCAGAAATTTCATTCAAGAAGGACTCTAACACAGATGCCAGCAAAAGTTTTGTATGAGTAAGAAGCGAATTAAAAAAGTAATGATCTAGAATTTTGCTCATTTTTATCATACTTCTGAAAAAAGCAGAGCAAAATTATTTACATTTTTTGGCATTTTTCACAGAATCCCACTGACACTAGCTTGTAGCTAATGAAAGTCCTCATGTTCATTTGTTTTCTTAGATGCTTGCCATTGCCTTTCTTCTTATTCCCATGAGGATCTTAAGGGTCAAGATCGATCATGAAATGATGCAAGAAGCTAGAGGAAAAACAGGTCCATGAGGACATTTTATTCAATATTTTTCACTTGTTCAGTTTAAAGTATTTGTGGAGTTAACAAAAAAAAAAAAGGAAGTGTAAGGCTTCCAAGAAAAGGCACCAATAAACTGTGTAATTAGGATAGAATGAATCAATAGTCTTCTCATGGTAAGAAGAATTCTCATAAAGTAGAAGTTTGTTTCCAATTAGAATAACCTAATAGCTAATACCAATGATAAGGACATGTTAAAGATAAACAGGACAAAAATATTCAGCATTTACAATGTCAGGATCCATTATCTCATCCTGAATTACATGTTCCATCCACATACCTATGGACACATGACACCCCTTTGATAAGTGGTATTGGGAATAAAATATCTGGGGAATTAACTTTATTGTGTAGATACTCCATAATGAACCTAGCCAAGTATTTGAGGGACATTTAGGCATCAATACTGTTGACAAACTCATGATACCTATATTGAGGATGATTGTATCAATCTGCAACATCTCCAAAGAGATGCTAACAGTCTAAAATTGAGAATTTTTCCCATTTGCGTTAGGTATCTACCATCTTCCTAAGAAGCCAAGGTAGACGCTAAGAAAAGAAAGGGTGTGATTTCAGTAGTGGATTGTGTTTTAAATTCTTAGAATACACTCGGAGTTCAGATACTTTCTCTACTAACCAGCAAGTGCTGAGGAACTAGTTGACATTGGTCACTGGAAGACATAGCTTCCACAAAGACTCCCACATTAGCAGCTCCTAAACTGGTCCACATAGTTCAGCAGAGGTATACCATGATGGTATTTAGATAGCCACTTTGGAGATTTTTCTGTTGTTGTTATTATTTTGATAAACATTTTATTACAGGATTCTTGGCATGCTATATATTCTAGTACCTCATTTTTAAGGTTCACCCAGAAAAATGAACTGTTAGCTTGACATCTACATATGATATTTGTTTCAAGCTGGATTAAAGTAAAACCTTGTAAAAACAAAATCAGTAACTGCTTTCTACGGTATTGCTTCCGTGGGGCTGTGGACTCTCTTTATCGCTTCGGAAATATTAATGTCCTTTTCTCAAGCCTGCTGCTGTCATTACCTGTGCCTCACAGAACTGTTAATCTATTAAGAAACAAAAAGCTCTTTCCAGCTTAGTTAAGGCAATGTGAAAACCTCTATGTGAATTTTTTCTCATACACTAAGCTTTGTATTTCATAAAAATATGAATACTCTATACAGACACTTTCGTAGGTTCAGTGTGTGAAGTGTTTGGTTGGGTCTTGATGGAAACCAAACTTGAAACAGTCAGACACTTCAAGGTGAGGATGGCTCTGTGGTAGCTGACCTGTCTTTGAGGTACAAGAGACCAAATATTATACCTCCAGTAGTGCCTATAAACACAAACTTAGGGAAGTCCAGGGCAAGTGTGTGTAACTGTTCCCTGCAGTACTCTCTCAGGATCCAATTGTTTTCAGCTCAGGGACTTTCTGAGCTGGATGTTTCTGTGTGTGCCATAGTCCTCAACAGATTTCTTTTTCCGTGAGCTTGTTTTTGTCTTGTGTTAAAAACTTGACACAATGACAGGTGGCCAGCTATCTCTTCAGATCATGTGCATACTTCTCAGAAGACAGTGAATCCTAGAGACAAGCAATATTTATTGATCAATGCTCATGAA